TAAAAAGTTAAAGCAATTGCACAATCACACACTTTTAAGAAGTCTGCAAGCCACCTAAATCCCAGTCTACATACGACTGATAAATTCTTCAAATGCAACAGGAAATGTATATAGGGCTTTTGTATGATGCCCTCTATGTTTTACTCAATACTGAATTTCAGGAGTACTTACATTATAAACATTTAGCTGTTTGGATGATCAGACTAGTCCTTGAGATATTTTCCTTTCATAGGAAAAAGAAAAAATCCCTTTACTTCTTCCAGCCTTAAATATTCACCACCTCGTTCAATATGCAGCCTCCTTGAATCACACACACAACCGTCAAAGTCAATCCAATAAGCAGCCAGAAGACGTCTGGGGTGTGTGTGTGTGTGCGTGTGTGCAGCGTGGAGGAGGAGAAAGTGGCTGAGCTGTTGCTGGTCGGATTAAAAGTAACCGGACTCGTCCTGAAAGCGTCCAGGAAGGAAGTAACAGCAGGCGAATGGGAAAAAGCGAGCTGCTCACAGCCTTTGTAACATCGCAGAGGGGAGGGGGGAGGCGAGCTTTCAGACTACACGCCTGACGAGGTGTCCTTCTCTGCTTCGCTCCCTCTTCCTCCCTTTTCTTCTTCTTGTCCGCGTCTCTTATTTCATTCTCTCTCTCTCCCACAATCCCAAACGAATGACTCTCTCCTCCCGAGCTGGAGAAATAATCAGTTTCACTCTTGCAAAAAGGGGGCGGGATCAGATCCCGAAAGGGTTTTAATAAAACAAACAGAGCAGCAGCAGCGGCAGCAGCTGTCTTCCTTGCCCCTCTAGTCTAAACTAGATTGATAAATTACTCCACTGCACTACTTTAATTATGTATATGGTATGCAGAATAAATCACTGAACATCAGCACCTCAATCAAGCAGTTTTAAATGATAATTGCATCTCGGGTGAATCAATCTTTCCATTCCTGACATTTTGCTAATTTTAGTTTTACGGCGGGGTAATGGCATATGCCACACGCAAACCTAATGACAATCCTTGCTCACACCGAGCCCAGGCGGGGCGCAGGACAGGCTGGCGGTGGGCAGCGGGTCAGCGCTCCTCTGCGGCACTTACCCGCAGCGGGGTCTCTGCCATGTTCCCCCGTGTTGCCACCCCAAGGCACCTCCGGTCTGCTCCCACCGACACCCGGCAGTGGCACCTCAGGAGGGGTGGAGGCAGCGGGGCCGCCGCCATCGCCGTTTGTCACCGACCCCCGGAGCAGAACGCAGCTAAGGGGGCACCCCCACCCGGAGAGCCCCTGCCCCTCTCCTCGCACCTCTGCCGAGCTCCAGCGCTCCCTGCGCTCCGCTCCTCAGCAGCCCAACTTCCCAAAGTCGCCCGGCTTGCACGGCGCTGCGGGCGGCTCCCCCGGCGGCGGAGTGGGGGGACAGCATCCCTTCTTCCAGGCGAAACCCCGCTCGGGTCCCGCTCGGGGTCCCACTTACCCACAGAACTGCAGTGTTACCGTGCAAAAGGACAAGGCGCTGTTTAATATAGGTTCATTTGCTTCTAAAACCGGACTGAAAGGGTTGTACTGTTAAGGGAGCTCGAATCCACATTAAGCACATGGACTAATTTGTGAGGAAAACTGGACTTCTGCAGGTAGCAGAAGTTTTAATTTCTGTGTAGAAAAGCCAACTTTCATGACGCTTTGAGAGCAGCAGGGGAGTTTATAAAGGCACAGACCATTATTTTTATGATAGATTAAGGTACTGGAAATAGGAACAGCACGCATGATAAAACCAAATGACTGAATTTAACAGCAGTGATAAATGTGCATTTGGTTTATTTTAATGCAAGCCCTTGGTCTCACAGTCTTTTTCCCTATAAAGATCTCATTGGGCCACTGACCTACTTCTGAAGTTCCGTTTTTGACAGTGAATAAATGCCTTCTTGGTTCAACTGCTCTTCTTAAAACATGGATGCTCAAAGCACAGTTGGAGCAGAGCGAACCTCAGGCAGTTCTAACAAGCACCCTGTGACTGCTCTCAAGGCAGATCCCTTGAGAATACTCTTTAGTCACTTCAGATCTCATCATGCCTCACTCTGTCCTGGTGAGATTTAGATACAGAGTGGCCAACTCTCACAGGACAGGCGATTACTGGCTATAAACCCACCCACAACAGTAACACTGACGTGCCCCTAGCCACCAGGCAGCCAGGCACCAGCCCAGCACAGTGCCTACATACGGTGGTGAGAGCCACATATGCTCAGCAGTGTCAGCAGCAGAGCCTGCATAATGGTGGAGAAGAAATAACTTTCTCAGCCTCAGGTTTGGTGTGAAGTGCAGCAGTAAGGGGATACAGAGCAGTAACATGGGTTGTACCCTTGCTATGCCTCTTCTGCAGACAATTCCCATCACGGCACCCAACTATCCGGCAACATTCCTATTTTCTTAGTGGTGAAAAATAGAAAGCTGTGTTAAGACTTCACACTTTTGTACTGTAATTGAAAATGACTGGCATCTGTTTTATTTTGTGCAGGATGTGTAAGTTGCCAGGTTTCTGGCTAGTTGGTAACACATCCCTTCAACTGGCCAGGCAGAACATGAGCATTGTCATATTTTGAAAGCAATTACTAGAGTGGGCAAATATTTCAGAAAATAAAAGTACACAGCAGCTTAGCACATCTACTATATCTCTCTGTGGGCACTTGTGGCCTAATCCTTAAATAGCTGTGACCTTCACATACTGAAGTACCTTAAAGCCATGCCAAGTTTTTGTCACAATTCATCAAATCCATGTAAAGGACACCTCGATTTTTAAAACAGGGTACAGATGTTAGATGGACAAACATACAACAGGAGAGATCAGGCTTTCCCAGTCCTTTCAGGGTTAGATGAGGCATGAATTTATGCTGTACCTTTTGAAGTGTTCAGGACCTCCCCCACCCCCCTTTTGCTGCATTTAATTTTAAAATCTGGAATAATTTCAAACAGTGGAAAACCTTTGTTCTGCTGTCTGTACTTGTACTGATGCTCTACAAATACACCCTTTTCAGATTTCTGGCATGAGACCCATATCTACTGTTTTTTGCTGTCCACAGGTCATGTGTAGGTCTGCTGACAAAATTACTTTTGGGGCTTTTTTCCTTAATCCGCCACCTGAGGCATGCAGTGTTTTAAACAATGAGGCAACAGTCAAAATGCAATAATTATAAAATCACATCTCCAAAGTTTTATCAAAGTGTATCCAAGTATCTCTTTCCCTTACAAGTGCGATTATCTCAAGGTAACATTTCCTTTGAAGATGATTATCAAAGCCCATTTTTGTTCTTTTGTGGATGCAGAACATATCTTTCCCCTTAGGAGAAATGAGATTGCCAGCTTACATCTTCTAATGGTGTTTAAACTGAAAAGCACTAAGGTTACTATGAAATGATCCACCCCCTTTGCATCTTAACCCTGGGGTGGCTTGGTTTCTATTTTCTGTCTAAAGTTCTGCTCAACCCCACTCTACTCCACGCCTCTCTCTCCTCAATCACCTCCCTCTTTGTAAGAGCAACACAGTATATAACACTTCTTCCCATGTCTGGCTGCTTTTAAACTTGGCCCACGCTGGGTGCAGCGCTTGAAGTGAGCTTAAAAAAATTATTTTAAAGTGAGCTGGGGTGGTTGCCACAGCAACCCACCCTGTGAGGAATCAAGGCTATAGATTAATCTACCCCACAAGATTATTCAACGGTACTGTATTTGTTCCTTGTTCATTCAGAATATTCCCTCAATCCATATGCTTTTATAATGAACAAAAGATGCAAACTCGGATAATTTCAAAGAGAACAGGATATATGTTCCAGGAGCACAGTTTAAATGCTTCGTAAACCCATCACAAAGAGCTGAAGATGTTGTGTTGTAAAATCATTTAATTGTAAAAAAAATAAATCTGCTAGGTAGGCACAGCTGACATACGAACTTTAAATAAAATGGCATGCTAATACTAGAATGGTGTTATACACATCAAGAAATGATTACAGAAAGCCTTTGTCACAGGTGTACCTTTAAGTACATAATACAGTAGAACTTGCTCTCCAGGCTTTGCTTTTAACATTAAATCTGAAAACAATAAATAGTACTTTGTAATATTAAATGCAATAAATATTAAACACTCACCACATACACCCTCTTTATTGTCAAAATCATCCGCCTCCAATGCTTTACTTAAGCCTTCCCATAGTAGTTACTTCACAGTTTACAATTCTTGTTCGGCACCTTGGATGTTTAAAAGCACAAAAGTAGTGTGTTATTAAAATGCAAACCTATGGTACTTAAATACATTTAAAGAAATTTATGAAACAGCTTCTATAAAAAGGATACACGTCTTTACTGATGTGCACTTCAGCCTAAAAAGAGTACCACTTTTCAGTAACTCAACGTTTCCAGAAGCTGTAATAAACTCCATCCGAATCCTAACTTAGAGATATTTCACTTCTGATAAAAACATGAAACTACTGAACTGGGTTCATCCTCCAACTGGTACTTAGAAAATAAATCATTTATACTTTTATGTGCATTTGGGAAAATGTGGCCGTCTCATCATTTAATAAATGCCAATTACCATGACTGGGCCAAATGCTTAAGTGTCAAAGTTTGGTTTTAATCTCTTCTTTCGAAGGTACCTGTATGCTGTGCCAACACCCTCGGGTGTGCCTCGAAGAAGGCCGCACAAAACAACCCTGGAGGAGGACCTTTTTTACCCCAAACACCCGGATTTCAGTGCACCTGCAGCTGAGCTGAGAGGGTCCCCGCCGCGGCCAGAAGCCACGACTTGCTCTAGAGGGGTGACTCCTCTCCCCTTTAACACACAACGTTACTTTGGGCTTTTCTGCTCATTTATGACCAATATGAGCCCGGGGGCTGCGCCTGCCGTTTCGTCCCCACCGGCTGCCATCTCCACAGGCGGCGCGGCCCAGCGGCCGCCGGGCTCCTGCTCCGCCCTGGCGCGAGTACTGCCTCACACTCCGTTGTGGCGGCGGAGGGTCCGGCTCGGCTGCTCCCTCCACCTCAACCCGTGCGGGCTGAGCACCGGGTACAGCTTGAAGCTCTTCCTCTCTCCTACTCGCCGCCGTCCCCTCTTCCAAGGGCAGGCGCTGTGGCGGGCGGGGAGTATCGTACGTTCGGGCGGGCTAACGCGAGAGCGGGTGGTCCCGGGGAGGGAAGGAAGCGGTCGGCGTCCCGCTGCGGTGGTAGCGGCGCAACATGAGCCCCGTGCAGGCGGCAGCTGCTTAAAACAAGGACGGGCACAGCGAAGGCGTAGCGAGTCCCGGTCAGGGGTTGGCTCTAGTAGAGACCTCCGCTTTGCTTTCATTTCAGTGCTGTCCCCTCCAGAGTCTTCCACAGCCTCTTCCCACCCCTCCAGCCTCAGGAATAGGCGGGTGTTGATTGTTTGGAACACTGAAGGGCACTTTCGAAACCCTCAGGGTGCCCACCAGGGCCGTCAAAGGGCCGGGCTGAGTGAGGTAGGGGTGGCCCAGCAGCCCCAGGAGCGTGGTATAGAGCCGGGGTCTGGAAACAGGGCAAGAATGAGCGAGGGTGGTAAAATTAAACCTCACTTTGCTAATTAACGGCTGGGAGAGCGCTGGGCGTCAGCCGTGACATGTATGTGCTGTGGCGCCAGGAGTGCCTGGAAAGACACTGTAAACTGCGTTTCTGTTCTCGGTGGAGAGCTGGGACATAGTGTAGTCGTGTAGTCTAGGGCATTATCAGTTGCTTTCCAGGCTCTCAGAAAGCTGTTACTTCAACCCAACCACCCCCCCCCCCCCCCCCCCCGTTTTTAAAAAGTGAAATCTTTTCGTGCTCCCTTGTCTATCTTTTCAAGGGCGTTTGCAGGGAAGAGGCTGTAGAGGAGGAAGAGGCTGCCAAACACACTAGGTCAACAGTGAAAAGAGGTTTGGTTGTTTTGCTAAATTGATCCACTTCTGGTAATCTGAAGTGTTTCATTGTTACAAAAAGCAGTTTCTGAAACTGTAGTTCATGAGTTGATGCTGTCCTTTAAATATCTTATGAACAGTATTTCAGAGATTATTTTTATCAAAGATTTTATTGTAATGTTTGCTTTGTTTCTTTTTTAACAATTTTAATGCTAGAGGTGGGAGATAACTTCTTTGTAGACAAGTATTGGCTTTGTGTTTTGTTTTGTTTTGTTTTGTTTGGTTATTTTTTTTTTCCAGATACTGCTATAATTGTGCTGAAAGTGTAAAAATAGTATTTATTACTTTGTGAATGACAGCACAGACTAATATTAGAATCAGATCTGACCTGTTGATACCTACTTTTTGCCACAAGTGCTTTTGAGGCCTAGGCTATTAATTGAATTTTGCTCATTTGTTTGAAAATGAGGCTGAATTTGCATATGAAGGAATTAACAGCTATAGAAACATCGAATCTGTGCTCAGTGTGGATGCTGTGGAGCTCACATGCCATGTCCAAAGTCCCCTCAAGCCTGCTGAAATACAGTTTACGCTCACAGGTTGAGATGGGACCCTAAATAGAAGCTTGTGGTCACCCAGATCCTATTCCTGCCTCAGAACTAGTCTTTGGATAGCTACTGCAGTTCCTCCAGCAGCTACTGCCTGTCTGTAAGATATTCAAGCATCCTCATAATCCTATGACAACGTTCCACCAAGTGTATGTAGTCTATATATACATGTATGTATTTTAGGGAATAACACATGTAGTCAGTGGTTTTACTTAAGTGTAACTAAAGGAAGAATTTAACCTACCAACCTCTCCCCCATTGAGATTTAGGGACTCCAAAAATGTGAGTCTAGACTTGCATGGAAGTAGTGTATGAAGGTCTTTGAAGCTCTTCAGTGCTAGTCAGAAATCAGCAAGCTAAGTTTTAGTCTCAGACAAACTCAACAGCTCAGAAACCAGTTTCAGTTCTGCCCCCTCCTCTCAGTCTCTTCTGACATAAAGTTAATTAGGTGAAATTTCAAGCTAAATGGGCTTTTTTTTTTCCTATGCAAAAACATAAAAATAGATCAAATGTGAGCTTAAGTGGAAATTTGGAGCCAACTCCCCATCTTAATAGGGTTTAAGTACAGGATGTATTTGAAGAATATTTTTTGGGAGTGTTATTTTCATGAACTGCTGCTCATCTGTCTGATTTTTCTGCATCTTCATATACCTCAGAAACATTAGACTTTTATTTTTTAAAGCAAGGCGTTTGGTTGAAGTGCAGTTTATCATATGGTTTAATACAACTGTGATTGAAGTCTACCTAGATCTTTAAGCAGCCTTCACTCAAGAAGTACAACGTATTAACTGTTCAGCTCAGTCTGTAAGACAGAAGAGCATACTGGAGGCAGAAGTGCTGTGTTTTGGTGTCTCTTTGTTCTCTGAAGGGCCTGTGTCCAAACAGAGACTAAATCAGAGCAGCTGTGGGGCAACTTGAATTCACAGAAGGGATCAGGCAGGTTCCTGCCAACCACGAAGTACTGCACTGGCAGTCCCCATCTTTAAAATCTGTATATGTCTTCCAATATCTCACACAACATCTAGAGTTGATGGAAGAAAACTTTGTATTTCTTTGTTAATTTATGCAGCTTTAGGAGGTTTAAATCTCTTCTCTGTTAGTGGGTCATTTCAAAAGAAGTTTCCCCATACTTCTCTCCAAGAGGAAAGGTTCCCAGAAATTAAGATCCAGCATTAGTGCTGAGTAAGAACCGCCTTTCTCATTCTTGCTGCTACATTTACTTGTTCATATGATTATCACAGAATCTCCTGTGTCCTGTTTTCATTTAGGGAAAGGCTTGGAGAGGCTGATTTTTTATTTTTATTTTTTTTTCCAGGCTATGCATTCCTTCTCTTTTCCTGAAATGGAATTGCCTGAGTAAGGTATTGTGATATTTTCAGATGTTTTGCCAAAATAATACACAATCCAAACCAAAAAATATGATTGCACCTCCTTGCTTAATGTTTGACACTCGAGCATTTATCTGTCCTGCACTGCATGATGATGTGTACAGAAGCAGACAGCTATAGATGGCCAGAAAAGGCTTGATTAAGTATTCTGCAGCTGCTATAAATTAGATCAGCACCTGCATCTCTGTAGACAATGAAATCCACGGTAATTTTGAGGCCCAAGCAAAGCAGAAGTTTGTTTTGGATAGATCCTTAGCCACAATTCAAACAAAATTCAAATTCAAAGTATTCTAAGGGTAGAAAAAGGTTGGTCAACCTCATCTCCTTTTTCTGAAGGCCACTGTGGTTTGCCATGCTGGTTGCAGGTACGGATTCCAGTGTACCACATTAAAGGCTGGTTTTATTTTATTTTTTTGTTTTCCTTAAACCCAATTCTCAGTTTTCCAAACTAGCCTTCAAGATACATTTTAGATAAGCACCCAGCTTTTTGGCTGTTTCTCTGACAATTTCCCTCTATTTCAGATGCATACCACATTCTGGAAACAAATTTAGAGTGAATGATATGCAAATTTTAAAGGTCAATCATCATGCCTGTTGTAACAGAGTATGCTGTATGGCATTTGCAGCATATATTGAGTACAGAATGCGATAGCAATGGATCAGTACATTGAATGAGGGAATAAAGGTATTGCTGGAAAACTTCAATAGAGATATGCTTGCATGTAAATATCAAGAAGTAATAGGTTATTCCCTGGACATTTCAAGAAAGTGCACTGATTTTGTGTTTATAGGCTCTTCAGTACGAAATGCATGTCTTTGTTTTGCATTTGAACAGCTCCCAGTACAAGCATTGATCCATAAATATGCCTTCTGAGTGCTGCTGTAATACTAATACTTCTATTATCAAACAAATAATGAATATAAAACTTTTGCTAGATGTTTTAGAGAGGCCTTTTGAAGGCTGACAGCTCTTGTTGATAAGTAAGGACAACCTTGTAACCTCTGTGGTGATAAAATGTAATTGCACAATAGTTGGGTCAGTTTTTAGATGTGCTTGTGCCACTTATGTTTGTCTATATTAGAACTTCCATGAGCCTCCAGCTGTGATGTCATTGGTTGTAACTCTTCCCGTGGAAGTACTTGAGAAAGTTGGCATTACCGAGATTAAAAGGAAACTAACCCTCAGAGGTCATGTTTGGATACGTGCTTTGATTTAGACATAGTTCACCTGAAGTTGCTGTTGCTATCATCTGATCTAGTTTGAGCATCTTTGCAACAGCTTCCGCATGAGATGGTCAGATTTAAGTTCCCGTAACAGCCTGCACCAATGAGACCAGTGAGGTCTGTTTTCAGATTATTTACAGATAGGTAAGCCTTACACTGTTAAAGGAGAAGAAACCTGGTTACTAAATCAAAGAAGTTTTTGAAATTGAGGGGTATTATTTTTGTTTGCCAAGTAAGGACTGTACAGAGACAACTTCATTTCCTTTTTTTTATGAACCATTTAATCTCCAGTCAAATGTGTATTGAAACCTCTGGAACTAACCCACTAACTATGTAGTTAACCTCTCAATTTTTAAACTCTCAGTAACTCTTGAATAAATTAAGTTATTGTGGCACTAGCATTTGTCTTTACCTTTTGGACCTAGAAGTCTGAGGGTCTTTGTAGCAAAGCCCCTTTCCACTAGTATCTCTGGACATGACTTGGTTGTCCTTTAGCTGTGACTTAGCTACAGCAGCAAGGGCTGGAGAATGGGTACATATTTGGAGCAGAGTCAGAGATTTTCTAGCTCTTAAAAGTGAAACCAAATAGTCTTTTGGGGTCTAGATAGTCAGCGCAAAAGTTATATGGGTAGAAATAATTTGAGGAGGACTGTTGCTAATGGGGATAGGCAGGTTAAGAATTTCTGGATTAAAGTGAGATTCAGTGAGGAGTTCTCACATTTTTTGCAGATTGAAGCCAGCAATTCTGATTTTTTCCAGGAACAAAAGAACAAGTGCTTCTTTATCCTAGATGGGAGCCAATTCCCTCATATTTTGGAGAAAGATTACAATCCAAAATCTCATTTCTGTGAGGTTGTATGTGCATAAGGTCTAAAGTGCTATTGAAAGCTTAGTGGTTGATGACTAAATGGTTAATGAAATCAGTTACTGCAAGGATGCATAATTAAATGGACAGCAATATCTTTCCAAGTTTAGTAGCTATCTCCTGATATACAAGTAGATTATTTCACACTCTTCTGTTTTTCTCAACATCAGTCTACTATTCACTCATTTTTATAATTATTGCACACAATATTAATTTGTTGCTACCAAGCATTCTTCTACAATAATTTAAAACTCAAGAGATGGATTGATACTGGGTAAAGGACTATTTGTATATAGTTACATTCGATAGAGAGTATTCTGCCACCAATTAAGAAAGCAAAGCAAGAAAAAGAATAAATACTGCAGATATCTATAGCAAAAATGATAGGAATGACCGTTTTTATATACTTCCGTGTCATTACTGGTAAATAAAAGAAAGCAGAGGGAGATGAAAGTAACTGGGGGTGAGCTTTTTTGTTATTAAGAGAACCCAAATGAAACCCCAGACAACCCAGGTGCAGAAGGGTATGTTTTGCTGCATTAATCTTTAGCAACTGGTTACCATCCTGTCCAGCCTTTTAATTTTTTGCCCTGACAGATGCTGTCATGTTTCAGGGTACAGTGCATTAAATTGAATGTCATATTCTGTGAGCACAGCTTTTAAGTATCTATGTAGAACTAGTAATACTGTATATTAATGAACGAAGCTGTAATTGCTGTTTCATTCATTCTGGGCAGATATTTTACAAGCTTCCAGCAAACTGGTACACCTTAGCTTAAATATAGATATTTATCCTTTGTAAGATGTATTTATTGAACTTGATTTAGAATCCAGTGCTTTGGAGTTGTACATACATTGCACTGTTGCTTTTGTCTTTATTGAGAATTTCTTAAGTGGTGCATTCAGAACTTGCCTCCTAATGCTACTTGCTTTCACAAGAAAAAATCTCAGTTTGACTGTGCAGTAAACTGTTATTACTTTGGATGGAGAAGACTGCTCGGTTGGGTTGTCTTTACGTTGTAATAGGGGGTATGCTGCAAGGCCTGTCCACATTACCTTGTTTGTGGCAAACTGTACAGTGCAACAGCATTTTTGGAATGGAATACAAGGGAGGAGCTGTGGTATGGGAATGCCGTTGGTGTCGGCACATTGGAATGGGACGAAGTGGGGTGCAGGGGTGGAAAGCAGACTTTGATATCTGGGGAGGCGGTCTCAGACCAATAACCAGTGGATTTTTGGATTAATTAATTAACATTAAGAAAGTTATATGTATTTTGTAGAATAAGATTTTGCTTACTCTACTGAGGGAAAAAGAAATATAAATTTGAAGTGTGCCTATACATACTTATATATGTGTACAAACACACACTTCATATATGCAGGTTTGTATATATATACACACACACTTCACATTCATAATAGAAATGTAAAATGGAAAATTTGCATGTTTTGAATGCTTGTATATGAAGCAGAAATTAAGGCAACAATTCTACTTCCCCCTTCCTCCTCCTTTTTATCATGCAGTTCATCATCTTATCTAGCTTTTAAATGCAGCTTCATTTACTTCGGTGGAAAGTGTCCAGTTTTCACCAGTAAAAGGAGAAGAAGGCACGATATGCTTTGAAAGTACCGTGTAACACTGTGCACTGTATGGAAAGCCTTGAATTAGCTTTTGAAGAACACGCGACAGAATAACTAAATCACGATTTTTGCCAAAGCTTTGTGGTTAAATCCCATTTTATATTTACACGCACTATGGAATGAATAATATAGATGTCTTCCTGACACTAAAGCTTGGATTTATTGGAAAACAAAACCATGTGGTTGAAAGCTGAGCCAGGCTGTAGCTTTTCAAAATAAAAAAAAAAAAGATAAAAAGATAGTTGTAGAGTACACTGCCCTGGTTTACAAAACACAACAGAGCTCTTAGTTGATGGGGAAGAGCTGGTACAGAAATAAATGAATGTACCAGGCATTTTAGGGTGGATTCTGTTTCTAATTGAAATAGCAGTGAAGTTTCAGTGAGTTAAATAAGGTTTTTCTCTTTGTTAAACTCTCAGTATTTAACTGATAATAGAAATATTTTAGAATTTCGCTTAATGTTCTTGAGTCTGATGATGAGGAATATAAGAATCAGAGAGACCAATAAAAGGCACTCATTTAAGTTTAATGGTATCTATCTAGAATGTAAACTCCACCTTTTGCAACATAAACAGTTTTTTTCTAGAAAAGCAGAACATTCTGCACTGAATTTTTATTTTACAAAATACTTTTTTCCCCAAATGCAGTGAAATAGACAAACTTAATCAGAATTTCATGAAATTATCCAGGAGTTTGTCACATTAATTACTGTTTCTGAACCTTTAAAATCAATACAGTAAAATGCTGACAAACTTAACAGTATGCAGAATGAAAGGCTCTAACCCAAAGGCTGTATGTTTTTCTTGGTTAGTGTAGCATGTACAATGTCCAGTTAACTCTAGGAATTGCCATTACTATTTATGGTCTTCGGATTTAACAGCGCTTGGTTTTAATGACTGTTAAGGGGATTTGGTTTCCATACTTTACAAGTGTTATGCATGAAACAGCTAAGTTTTACAAGCATTGCTTTAGTTTAAAGGCAGCTCTAGTTTTGATGTTTTGTTTTATGTTTCATACTTCATCCAAGAAGGTATATCTCATATTTAGAGTTTTATGCTTTGGCTAGTAATGTTTTATTCTACTGCCCTTGTACTCTCACATATAGTAGGATATTCTTGCTGCAGACAAAATAGTGATTATTTTCATGCATCACATTCCAGAAACAAAAGTAATCTCTGCTGCGCTTTTACTGTCTCCCAAAATGAAGAAAGTGGATGAGGATTAAGCCCTGATCTACCTCTCTGATGTTGGATTTCCCCATCAGCTGTCCTGGTCCCACACCAAGCACCCTAGCTGAAAAAAAATTACAGATCAGAGGTGTTTAAAAGGGCCTCAGGCATTATTATTTAGCCAGTCTTAGTCTATCCATTGCTGCTAAATCACCTATTTTGACAAATAGGGAATATCCACTGCAGAAATAGTCTAACTGTATACTGACGTACGATTTCTTTCTTTCTCCCATTAGTGTCTTCTGTGGTGCGCATGTGAATTGTGAATATGGAATCTGCTACTCAGAAGGATTCATATGGTCAAGTTTTCTGTCTGTTTACTTGCTTGAATAAATGTTCTCAATTTAACACAACAATTTATAATGAATATTGTGAAACAAAGTTAAAAGAATGAGTTCTTGAAATAGAAATTGTAATAAAATGCTTTTCTCCTCTCCAAAATATTTATTTTAACATGTGGTTACATTTTCCTACATTTTCACATTAATTGAAATCTTATTGTTCTAGAAAAATAAATCTTTTTATCCCCTTCATCTAGTTTCCCAGCTCTTACGCAAATTAGAGAATACACACACTGGCATAATTTGTGGTTTTACAATGAGAAAGACTGTGTAAATCCATGATATATTTGAACCGCATCGTGCCAAGTAGTGCTCTCACGTAGCCTGTTTTATAATTTACCTTTTCACTTCAGCAAAACACCAGCAGTTTTGTGTGATAATCCTTTGATTACCAAGACTTCTAAAATGTTCTAAACATCGTTCACCTCCCTCATTTCTTACAAACTAATGTTAATGTTCAAGAAGGAGTTTGTGAGGCTCAGAAATGTCCACTGAAGCTCCAGATACTGGAAACAGTCTACAGACAACACATCCTTTCTATTTTTTTTTTGAAATCACCAGGATAACTAATTTATTTTAAAGGAGGCAGGTGCAGGGGGGCACAGAGTACACCCCAGCGTTGCCTGGATTCTGATGTTCCTGCATGTAATCCTCTGTGTTCTTCCTATTCAGATTCATAGAGACATTTAGACAGAAACTGACTATAAATACCCAGTCACTTTCAAGAAACTTTTCTTGGCAACAGAAGCTAAAATCAAGTACCGTATCAAACAAAACGCGAAGCATGCTACAAAGCTTGTCTGCTTTCTCTTGAAGACAGCTTTGCAAGTGCAGAGCCGAGCCACCCAGCGCTGCAGCAAGCAAAATGACTCCAAAGACTTAAGAATCATTATTTTAATGTTTTTCTCTATTAAAACTCACCAGTGCCCTTCTTCTGCTTCTCCAGGAAGTTGTACCCGTCAGCACCTGCTGAGGGCTTCTTGATCAAACGGGCAGGTAAAAAAAATTCCCGTAGAATAAAGCCAGACCAGCTGGCTTTGAAGAGAAGCCCCCCAGTTTGGGTTGTGTTTGCCTCACTCACCCTCTGCTCTGCAGCCACGGGCTTTTTCTCCTTTGGATGTTGACCTGTAGGCTGCGTGATGCGGGCGCACAAGTGTCTGGCAGGCCAAGGGGGCACCTGCCTCTGTCAGTCCTGAGTAAATTTAGCTGTAAAAGGTATCACTGACAAGCAGACCTTTGTCAGCGCTGGCAAACAGACACAGTATTGCTGTCCCCCCTTCAAAGCACGCTGCGAGTTCAAGTGGAAAATAGCAACTTGGATCATCCTATCCAGGAATCGCTTCTTTGAGAAGGGTGGCCAAGGATTGCTTGCATGTGGCAAAAAGCTTTCCTCTTTTACATAGATGTTAAAATTACAGTATTCCAAGAATAAACTCTGAACAAGACTGGGTTTTGTTCTATTAATTATGTCTGGAAAGAAACTTTTTTTTTTTTTTTAATGGAAATACAGCACACACATATTTCAATTCAGGTTATTAAACTGTCTTAAGTATTAAAGTTGATTGCGTTTCTTTTCACTAACTCATTGTGCTTTTTTATCCAAAGAAATATTAGAAGACTAAAGCCTCTCAAATAGGAGGTGTTAGTCTCATTCCCAAAATTAGAAAGCATGTAGTGTTGAGAAACTGGATGTCAAAATTGCATGTGCGTAGCACTTATGTAGTGGGAATCTAGGAACCAACCACATTTTAAATGGGAGCTAAAGTAATTAGAGACTCTTCTGAAGTGATCAAAACTTGGTGTTCTTATCCTTGTTGGAGTAAGGTAAGGGTATTTTATTATTTATATCTGCCCCTTGCATTTTGTTGTTTTTTTTTTTATTCCCTTCCTGGAAGTGGCTTCTGGTGATTGAAATAGAAGGGTGTCATTTGCACCAGTATGTCTTCATTCAGAGTTAAGAAAAAGAGTCACCAGCACAGGTTTGCCAGGATTGGTAATAAGCATGCCTAAGTACTCAGTTTTCTGCTCAAAAACTGTCATAAACTCAAATACAACTTTCAAAAAATTTCAAAAATGTGTATTTTACTACAATGTGCTGTTTAAAATGAGAAAAACGTTCCTTCTAAAAAAGTGATGGGAAATAGTGTGGGTCAGGAGCTCTTTGTAAAATAAACAAGGTTCCTATTTGCTTACTTGTATCAACAACCACGCACCAAGCTGTATGTCTCTGCAGGGGCACACTTTCAGATAAAAACATGGACCTGATAGGCATCGTCCTGTAACCATGGAAACATTTTAAGTGCCTCTCTCTCAATATGTACTTCTCTTATTCAGGATTTAAAAGCTGAATACTGAATAAGTAAGTGTTTTTATTTAATAATTATACAGGAGGTACTTTGTGGAAAGTTGGTTCTTGGGGTGTGTATCTGTCATAATAAAGATCTTGAGTTTTCACCATATTTGATAAAACCTTTCATTTCCACCCTCCTATCAGCTCTCATTTTTATATTTAAAACAATGTTTGCAAAGTCTTGATGAACGAAATTCCAAATTTTTTGATGATCCATTAGTTTGAAAAACAGCAATCATGGTTCATATTACCATCAGACTTAGGTGCTGCTCTAACTGCATTAAGCTGTTCTTTTTTTTTTTTCTGTCTTTCTGAGAAAGAAATATAAAACAATGCAAAGAAATCAAACTGTCTTGTTTTGGCAATAGTCATACCCACCTCTGTCACTGTTTAATGGGTTACAGAAGTTAAGTTCTTGACAACTGTCTTGAAACCAAACCAAAAGGAATTGAAGGAGATGCTTTAGCACAGAAATAAGTCAACTCATATTTTGCTGATTAAGATCTGTCTACCCCACTACTTAAGTTAAAATACCAATGCAAAGGATCAACAGAAATAAGGGATTTTCTGTCTCCATATTTCCACGCAGAGAAAGAAGTATAGGAATGAACTACATTTATATTCGATACTACCATTATGGAGATCTTTTGCAGAACAAATGTAGTTATTTCAAAGTTGCCTTGGCTCAATTACAAGACTCCTGGAATTCCATTTATTAATTGGTTCAGCTGATACACACTTTTGATGCAGTTTGATTTACAGACTATAAAAACGAGTGATTGCTGTCTGTTAGTTAACATTCTGTGCGTATTTCTTAAAAATCCTGTCTTAATTTTGTTGGTGGAAAACACTTGATTCCACCTCGACCTGGTTGTAACACTAAAAAGCCTTGCTAATTACAGTTGCCATCAAAAAAAAAAAAAAATGTTTATGTCTAGCAGGATCCAGTAGCTTTCACTGAAATCCACCTGGTTTAGAGTCTTGGTTCACTATGTTTGTGTTGCTGCATATTATTTTCATTTACTGCTGTTACTGTTTTTATTTGCTGCCTTCTCTCTCGAGGACCTGGTCCCTGCTGAGTGCAGATGGCACCAGTGATCTCTCCACTGATTAGGCTGGAGCAGCCTCTGGAGCAGCCCTGTGAAACTTCGCTACCTAATGAGAGTTGTTGCCCGGTTATCCACATCAGGTTTATACTTCTATTTATAAATACATTTTATAAAAAAACATGTACATTTTTATAAAAAAAGATTTTATTTAAGGAGTATGATCGTGATGAGGGCCAGTTGAACCTGGTTGACTCCCTGTGGGAGCTTCCGTGGGTGCTCTGCCTGTGAGCTGAGCTATTCCTTCTGCAGATTGCCACATGAAACCTAGGATTGTGATTGCTCTCAAGAACTTTTACTCTGAGCCAACTAAACATATCAGAGAGGTGAAACTTACAGCCTCCGGGGAGGGATGCAGCACACATGACAATTTTGCACGTTTCCCTTCCACCATGTGCCTAACCTTGCTACAAGGTCAAGGTTGCTGGGGTATTAACTGGGGGAGTAGAGACTAGCCTCAACTCAGCCCTCTGTGCATGCAGTCTGATGTGGACATGGAAGCTCTGACCTTACTCATCATCCTGAACAAATGACATTTTGGTTACCTACTTTAATGGCAGCACTGTGACATACAGTGAAGGCTGGGCTAGACAAACAAGATTTGCCCTGTTGCCGCAATATAGCAGTCAAAAAAATCTGACCTTCCTAACCACAGATCTGGGGGAAAGAAAGGGGTGAGGAAAATTGTTATTGGTATCACTTGGGCACATAAATCTTCATCTAAGTAATATGTTCTCAGCTTTATGATTTTTAGCTTTTTAATCCAAGAAGTCTGTATTTTTTTTTTTCCCGAAGCATTTGTTAAAGAATCATTTCCAAAATGCTAGAAAGTGAGCCTGAGCATATTGCAGATAAAATCTGTCTCCCTTCTCCATCACGTAAAATAGAGATACAACATTTGGCCTATATTCAGTTTTTCAGGTGCTAAAAAGCTATGACAAAACTGCACAGATCGTATGATAATAGGCATATTATACAACTCTAGATCATCATATGCCCAACTTATTATTACAATTTTAGCTTTCCACGGACCGCTTTTATAGCTCCATCAAGTTACATGTACTTCACAAACATAAAGGCTCATTGCACGCTTTTTGAATTTATAGATCAAATACAAGTTAGAGGGGGAAAAAAAATGGGAAAATGTTTAAGAATACAGTAAAGGTGTAGGAAGTATTGCTGCATTGTTTGAAGGCTTTTAAAGATCATCATCAGGCTAAAACGTAGACAAGGAATTCTCCGAGGAGCACCTCCTGTTATTTTGGAGCCATGAGAGCAAATACAGGTCCTAAATTCTGACCATTCCATGCTTGAAACGTTACCAGCTGAAAAGGGCTGAGAAAGAAATCTGACTAAAAAGCAGCTGCCTTTGAAGAACTTGTACACAACAAAGATGGCTCAAACTTGGCCTTGGAAAAAGGATGAAAACACAGAATCTGCTCCCACTGGTAGGAGCAGCCAGTTGTCAGAAGAGAAATAGGCAGGTACAACAGCAAAGTGATAGAGCATAGAGAACTCCCCTGCTCATCACTGTACTCAAATACATGAATACACCACTAAATATATGTATGTGAGTTTACACGTGTGTTCCCTGTATTGTTGTGCAGAGCTCAAAAGCAGAAAGAATGTAAACACACATGTGGCAAGTGAGAGGGAGGGCAATGTTATTCCTAATACAGAAGAGGAGCTAAGATTTTCTTCCTGAAGAGAAAGTAAATTGAGAGTTATATACGCCGTAGAGGTGTGATCTGTGAAAGGTTAGTTTAGCTGCAGCATTCTGAACAATTCTCATTGAGGGAAGGTTGTAGGGCAGCATTAAGGTACATAAACTGGCTGTTAGCAGTGGTGGGGAGGCACATCCCAAACTTTATTTAGGAAACAGTTTGCACAATAAAAGTTCAGAAATACATAGGTCTGTAAGTTAAGAAAGAGAACGGAGTAAATGCAGAGTGAGATAGGAGGTAGAGAAGGGACCAGAATGAAAAGATGGTGTTTAAGTAGGAGTAATTCTGTTTGTGGCAGTGGCTCTATGTAGCTGCAGGGAGATGCACACTGTGATGCAGAAACATAATTTGACATATTTATGCAGCTGAAGACAGGAGGAAAGGTAATCCTAGAATCATAGAATACTGGTTTGCAAGGGACCTCAAGGATCATCTGATC